CAGGGTAAGATCAAGTATATGCAGAAGGTGGGTCACTGGGGTCATGCCATTTTTGGTAAAAAACTGCTAAACACTGAGCATGGTGTGGGCAGGTGTGCTGGCAAACCCCCCATCATGAAATGGGCAAAAGCATTGAAAGAATCTCCAGAAAAATTCACTGAAGCCTAACACAGTCATTCACAACAATACTAGCTGGTACACTGATGCTGATGGGTTCCTAAAATACCTAGTGGAGGAAGCCTGTACTACAAGGGGCCCACTCTCCAAAAAATAATTCCAAGTTTTTTTGTGTCTCCTCAATGTATAATACCAATGTTTCTGTTTTTTAGTTTAGTGATTTCTTCCTGAGACATACATTGAAATTTTTACAGTGTCAAGTGTTCATTTTCAAGGATATAATGCCATGGATTATGCTACCAAACACGAAACGTTCAAATAATATTTATGAGAGAAGATTGACATTGTCCAAAGATTGCCTCCTCTTCTGTGGATCAGGCCTAAGGTCCTCAACTTTTGCATCAGATCTTTCAAGGATGCCATCCCACCCTTCTGCTTGGGACACCAATCTATTCCATGTCCTGCAGTGTTGATACTATCTCACAGACCTAGGGCATGTCATATGTCTGCAGAACCCTTCTTGGGTAGCTTGCCAAACCTATTCTTAATAACATTTTAAATCCTACTTTTTTATTTTTTATTTTTTTTTTGAATTGGCATTCCTTGACTAACTGCTGTGGTAGAAAATTTCTTTTCTCTATGTGGTCTAAAATTTTAATTGTCAAGAGTTCTCTTCCGTATCCCCCACAAGTACAGCTCTTCCATGTCCCTTCTCCAAAGCAGACGATGTTTACTGTCTGATTAATCTGCATGGCCTGTTTTCTTTTTTTTTTTTTTTGAGTTGGAGTCTCACTCTGTCTCCCAGACTGGAGTGCAGTGGCCGCTCCAGCCACCATAGCCTGGACCTGCTGGGCTCCCGCGATCCTTCTGCCTCGGCCTTCCAAGTAGCCGGAATTACAGGAATGTGCTACCACGCCCGGCTGATTTTTTGATTTATTGTAGAGACGAGGTCTTGCTGCCCAGGCGGGTCTCGAACCCGCAGGCTCAGGCAATCCACTCACCTCAGCCTCCCAAAGGCGCGAGATTACAGGCTGGCCTGTTTTCTAGTCTTCTGGAGTGCAGCCAGTACTAAGTAGATGTATATACAGAGAACGGGCTTAGGGCTTTGCATCACAGTTAGAAGGACAGATTTTAGAGCCACACAGCTCCACCAGTTACTGACCGAGTAACCATACGCAGGTTACCTAACCTCTCTGTAACTTGTTTCCTAATTTTTAAAATAGATGTGGAAGATATGGGATCATGTGACTCCCTTTTAAGGATCATGAAGATTAAATGAGTTAATTTTGGTAAAGCGCTTAGACCAATGTCTGATGCATATTAAATGCTATGTAAATGTTTATGAAATAAAATAAGTCATTGAGCGTGTTCTATCTGCTAGTCACACAGTAAGTGTGTTACATGTTGTTAACTCATTTTATCTTCACAGAAGCCCTATATGGTAGATACTGTTGCCATCTCCATTTTGCAGATGAGGGAACCAAGACACAATAAAAGTTAAGTAACTTGCTCAAGGTCACATAGCAAGTACAGGGCAGAGAACTGGATTGGAATTCAAACCACCTGAGTCCAGGGCAATCAACCACTCCTCTGCTTGTATTCACCTTGGTATACTGTCAGACCTAAATGTAAATCTTTTTTTTTTTTTTTGAGAATATCACTGTCAGATGGAGAGAGATGTAGCAGAATGTGTTTCTTGACCCATTAGAAAACACGCTGTGAGATAATGGGGGAGGAGAGATTAGTACCACTGGACCTGTGTTGGCTACTTTGGATTGAAAATCAGAGGATGGAAACCATATGTGTTAGCATTTGCTACCACGGCACACTAGGTTGAGGCCGATTATATGAGAATGTCTTTTTGGATTTTATCATTTCTTTTAAGGCACTCTTTTGCCAGGCTCTTGAGACTTTGCTGGTGCAACAACGCGAGGCCAGGACCATGCAGAACACCATAGAGATGCTGAGATAAAGGGAGTGAGAAAATGTGCTAGCCACATAGGCGTGTACGTGTTGCGTTGTAGGTACTGAAAACATGTTTCACTCTTCTCTACTCTGTCACCCAGCTCTACTGAAATACTAAATTTATCCATAGGAATTCTAACTAGAAAAGGTCAGCAACCAGTTGTGGAAGCTGGTACTTCAAATCTTAGTCATAACAAATGAAACCTTGGCTATGTAGGAAATTCGTTTGAGGTGGTTGTACATGCTCATATGCCCTGTAGATTTTATAGCTTCGAATATGTACTTGTAATTATAGATATTTTGCAAGCATTCTATCCAGTGTCCAGGCTTTTTGTCACAGTCAAAAGTTTTAAAATATTTAAGTTTCTTAAATCTTCAAAGGATCCTAGTTATTTTGTTGGCAATGTACAGATAATGAAAAAAATTATATTACAGTTGTTTTGTGAGTAGAATAAAAAGATTCCTAAGACAGTAATGCTTTGTGGAGTTTCTAAAGGCTAATACTCTTAAGTGCTAGGTAAAAATTAAACTTGAATAGCACCGATGAAATATTTACTCATCAGGTGGCTTTGAAGTTTAACCTCTTTTTGGTTGCAGTCCCTTGTCTAATGGACATGTTTCAAAGAAGAAAATGGTTATAGCCTTCAGCTGTGATGTTTTCTTCTCTGCATGGAGGAAATCTGTTTTGTTTTGGTCCGTTTTGGTATTTAAATTGTGAAGCCTAGCTACTTAGAAATCACACTAATGACAGAAATGGTTCCTACAACTCTGAATTCATTCTCACTGATACGGCAGTGTTTGTAAGTTTATTGTCTAATACCTACAGCATTTCAGACAAAAATTACGTTAACTCTTTTATTCTATAGTCTTTCCAACCTAAATTTACTTAGTTTTCCTCAGTTTTATATCAGAGGAACTAAGGTGTGTGTATACATGAAATGTGAAATACATTGTAAAAATTAGTTTTATAAAATATGTTGAAGTTGCTGGGTAAAATCACTATGTTTAAAGATCTTTAGAAACTATCATATTTAGTTCTTCAGTTTTGATAAAAACTGAAAGGTTTTCCTTCAAAGCTTAAAATTGTAGATGCTTGAAGAATATTGAGTTAAGATTATTTTTTTCCTACATCTTGTATTAAATTTCACACATCTGAGTAATTTAGAACTTTTAAAACTTTTATGTTGGTTTAAAATGTTCTATTTTTGTGTTTCCTCTCACCGAATTATGACACACTTTTAACATTTATGTTTGTGTTTTATTACTTAGTTTTCCTATAAATCTGACAAGCAATGAAGACCTCAGGAAAATCCCGGTAAGTTGCTGGAGGAGGTTAGAGAATTACCAAAGAACAAGCCAGTCTTTTTTCTGGCACACGTTGCTAAAAATGCCTTTGTTTTCTTAAATATCTCAGTTACCTAAGTGTTGACACTGAGCGTGGTAGTTTTGGAGACAGAAAGTGAAAAATTCAAGCTTGTCTTTAAGATATAATAGGGTATAACTTCTATATATGATCTATGAAAGGTCAAGCAAGTATTATAGTTATAATTGAAGCCGATTTAGAATATACATACTTTGTTTGCAGACTTTTGAAATTAATATGAAAGCTGTATGTCAAGGTTATCATTGTGGTTATGAAATAAGAACTTGTGGAAAAGACTACTTTTTGTTGTCGTTGTTGGGACAGGGGTTGAAAAAAAATAAAACTGCTTGTTAACATTCAACAATAGGAAAAGCATCCTGGCAGGAGATCCAGATAACCAGGAAAGTATTTGAAAGAACAAATACTTTAGGACACTTATCTTCCTAGTCAGAACAAAACCAAATATGTTAAAAGGATTGGTAGCGGCCAGCTAAATAAACTCACGTATTTTGCAAGGATTATTCAGATAATCTTAACTTTATTGTATTATTTGAAGTCCAATGTTGAATCTCTATTCAGAATTCCATTGCATCTGCAATCAATTGTAAATATATTAAACATAGAGAATAAGTTACTTTACAAAAATATGGGCAAATGTTCTTGGTCGAAAACTAAATTCTCACTGAATAACAGAAATAGTGCCTTTATTCCAAGAGCCTGATGGTTACTGTTTCAGCCATCTGTCCTTAATGTGTGTGATCCAGATGTACAATAAGAATTTTTTTTAAGCAATCACATATTATGATTTTCTAGGATGTGATATTGCCTAGAAGAAGCTGAAGAGGGTTTAGGGTTTATTTTATAAACCATTCTAAATGCAGTTGTTTGTCTTGAAAATTATAGAAAACATTATAGAAGCACAGGACTTTGTACTGTGTTTTTACTGTTTTATGTAAATGATTTGTAAGTTTTGATGTTTCATACATTCTCAAGTCTTTATAATATGGCAGTCTGGCAAGAAATGTCAGAAAATATGAAGTCAGCCTTTGATCAGGTAGTAAAATGAATTCTATCAGGCTGTTACTTAATCTCAAACAAAACGCAACATCAAAAAATCGATTTAATGTGTAGCTATTGTTTATTAAGTAACCTTAATTACAATTTCGATGTGCTTGTAAATGTACTTTTCCAAATCTTGTAATTTATTGCTGTAAAAGCATCCTTAGAATTCTTTAAAGAAATAAAATGTGAAAATTGTTTTAGTTAAAGGATTTAAAGGTGATAAAAGAATCCTTGATGTGTGATTATTTTTCTCTGGAATGCTAACTACTCTAAATGACAGTTAAAGGATTACTAGGTGTTGTTAATTTACTGCAAGATACAATTAAGAAGAGAAAGCTCATCCTCATACTGATCATTATTGAAGAAAAGTATTTGAACAATTTTTATGTTGAAGATTATAAGATGTTTGAAGTAATTTACATTAAGTTCTCCAGTAATAGCCATCTACCAAGTTATTTTTTTCTCCTTCTGGACATAGTATTTTGTAATTAAGTTTGTATATCTTATATGCTAGTGCCAACACCTGTCTGTGAAAGCACAGTGTTTAAACAGGAGCAGTAGCCAGTTGAAAGGGCAGTGTGAGCTCTTTAAGGCCTAATTAAGAACTGAAAGGGAGATGAAGGGAGTAGGACAAAAGATGTGAAAGTAGCTGAGATGATATTCCCAGAGCAAAGTTCCTCATTAGAACAATAATGAGATGATCAGAGAATGCCAAGCCTTCATCTCTCTCTCTCTCTCTCTCCTCTAGTTGCCTTGGATGTCAGTTAGTACCCCACCAATATTTGGTTACCAGGACAACCTTTCTTTAAATTTTCAGTTATTTTGAGTCCTGATAATTTGCTTTTGTTTAAATTTAAATATTGTAAAAAAAAATGTACATTTCCTAGTTTAAAAGACTAGACTGTGTAAAGTAAAAATAGATCACTGGTAATTCTCAACGTCTTATGTACAACTGTATTATTTAAAATTCTGGATTACAAAGCTTCATATGATAATTCTATTATTCTCTTACCAAGTTCATATTTTCTTATCTGCATGTGGACATTTTTAACAGGTAGGTAGGAGTGAGAAAGGGTTGGTTGTGAAAGGTGAAGAAAGAAGAAAAATTCCCATTAAATTTCATAGTAAGACATCTTAAACACATATGTGCTATCGATATGGAATGCTGTAGGAAAAAATATTGAGTACTTAGGAGTCTCATTATAGGTTGCATTTGGTCCTTAATAGTTTAGAGAGTTGTAAATTTTAGAAGTTTTTCCAAGAATAATAATACAAGTATCTTTTGAAAAAATAATTTTTATATTTGCCTGAAAATTTTCCTCTTTAAACAAAATAATTTTTGTAACCAGAAGATATTCTAATTTTCTGTTGTTTATATTACTTAATCTTTATTATTTTGTTTGGAGTTATATCCAGCCAGTAGAAGTATATATGTATTTTTAGAGTATGTCAATTAACTTAAGAATCTTATGCCTAAAATTAGAAGGTTTACATGGTTTTCAAATATGGCATGAAATCTAGAACTGAGCATGAAACTGTTTTTAATTATTTTATATTCTTGTCCAGAATATATTTTATAGTACATGTGTTTCTAAGATGGTTTCCTGCCCAGAAACTTGATGCTGAAATTTGGGGTAAATTTTTCACATAAAAGGTCAAAGGGAAAATTTATTGAAAAGACCAGAAATGTATTTCCAGGAATCTGTCTACACATTAGTGTTAGATTATTGTGAGGGGGAAGACACAATCCAAATACTGTATCTGTATAGTCTAGATTATAGCTATAATCCAAATACTGTATCTGTATAGTCTAGATTATAGCTATAAAGTGTTAAATGGTAATCTGAGATAACAATTGATTTATTTTGAGAGATTAGTTTGTTAGATTGATTTGTATCTTGGCATTAACTTAAACTACTTAAGTGATAATAAGAATTTTTTATACGTCTTTAGAAAATCCTCAGTGTCTTTAGAGAAATGTTAAAAAAAAAGTTTAACTACATTAACTGGTAGTTGACTGGTATAATATTAAATATAACAATGTAAGTGATCTTTTAACTGTATCTTATCTAATTAGTTTGGAGAAATCAGTTCATATATATAATTTTATTTTATTAAGATTAGAGAGACTTCAGCAGATGCTATTATTAAATGTAAAAACAAAACAGTCAGCTAATCAGTAATGCATCTTATTTCGTTTAATTTCATTAATTCTTGCAATTCTTACAAGAACTCTTATTTTTCAGTAAGTGTTTTATTAGAAAAATGCAATCACATTGGTTGATCTTTATTAATCTTAAAAATGCAATTCAGAAAATAATCACTTGGTAGATCAGACAGTTTTAGAGTTGAAAGGGCCAGGGAGAACATCTGATTATTCAGATAAGGAAAGTGAGACCTAGGTTGCTTTCAGTCTCAAATTTGTGCAGAATTACTTGGGTTAAGGTAAGAGACTTTAATGCTTATCTCTATAGCATGTCTTATCTGTACTATAGAAAACTGCTTAATATAATACATGTTTTATAAGAAGGTAATTAAGAAATGTATTATATGTTGTATATCTCTAAACTAATTATGGCCAACTAAATATTAACTATGGGTGTGTGTGTGTAGACTTAGATAAACTAATCTGAGAATAAAACATCAACCAACACTTATCTCTAGAATTGTCCTTTAATGATTTTAGAGTAATATTTGAGATATTTTTAAGGATAAAGATAATATAACTCAGTTATGTCTGTTTCCAGTTTCTAATGCTAAAATAAACGATGTTGGTTTTAGATATATTTTATAGAATTTAAACTCTTTTCCCTTCAATATCCTCTCTATTCATTCTTATTAACGCTTGTCTTTCACATTTCAACAGCCCTGTAACTAATTTTAGCTCGTCCAAATGATCTTATCCATTTTAATGCCATAAAAGTTGCCATGTTAATTTCCCTGGAACATAGCTGTAATCATGTAATATTCCTCTTTTTAGAAACTTTCATGGCTTCCTATATTTTCTATACCAAAAGTCTAAAAAATCTTAATAGCATTCAACATCCTCGGTGATCTGTTCCAAACATGCCGTTTCAGCCCCTCTCTTCTCCCTTTCCGTACCATATTTTCTAGGCTTGCTCCTCTGATTACCTGTTATTTGGCCACTGTGCCTGAGCCTCGTTTCCTCCTTTAAACACACGTAGCCCACTGTTTGAAATGCCCATTATGCATTTCTGTCTGCAAAATCTTTGAAGACCTAGTGCAAGCTGTGTTTTCTCCAAAAAAAAAAAAAAAAAACCTGAGAGATTCTATGGAATTGGAGAAGTTTTTCAATCCTGAATTTTTCATTTATTCTGGAGAAGGGGGACTGCTTCAGTGACCCAAGCATCAAATTGATATCTCCAACTTTGGCTTTCCTGGTGAAAACTCCTAGACACATAGCACAATTCAAGTAGATCCTGAAAATGGGGAAAGACAGATTTGATTCCTGTGGGGGGAAGACAGCTCTTCTACATTCGTCAGTCCCCATTCCTCATTCTTCACCAAACGGGTTAGATAATATTAGTCCTTAAGAGCAAGAAAACCAATTTCTTCAATATTTTCGCCGATTTTTTAAAAGCCAGGTGGAAATGTTTTGAAAGATAGTGATGAAAATCATTTGTTGAGTGTAGTGATAGAACTATGTTTTCAAAAGCATAGAAATTACTAAGCTGTATTTGGGCATTATGTTTTACAGAATGAAAAATCTAAATTCTACACACTAAAAATAAAAGATGATGTTACAGTGTCTTTTTGAAATTTCTGAGGAATATATTTCTTAAATTTTTGATGTCACATGAATATTAGAATGCTTTGTAATAAAAATGAGCAAATAAATGCCTTTTTTGGTTTTTTGGTTATATATATGCTTTTGCCTTAAAAGAATTTTTACCAATAGAATAAAGTTAACTAAGTAAACAAAATGGGAGAGAATGCAAATATAATAACCATAAGTGTTAATATAGTTATAGTTGAACTCTTGAATTTTCCAATAACTAGGGCAAACAGGAAAATTAGCTAAATTGAATGGCTATTATTAGGAGGAAGAAATTGACCAGTTGCCAAAGGGAGAAAAAGCTCCACCTGCTTCTAAATTGAAACAAGTTATTCTCATAGGGCTTCTTATGGGGATACTAATTCTGAGTGCTGTCAACATTTCATAGCAAGTTGGAGAAGCAGATTTGATATTGCGGCTTATAATCATCTTCAATAAAAAGCCAAAATTACAACATTAAACCACAGTACAACAGAAGCAGTTTTATAAGGATACATGTCCAAATGTTTAATTGTTAATAGGAAGCTATTAACAACTAAATCATAGAGATCTTTAGTTTTGATCTAGTTTAGATATATTTATTATAGAACATTTTATCTCTTAATTTAGTCTTAAGTTGTATGGGAAGTCTCTGATAGTAGGAAGTTGTCTTACTATCAATGTAAAAAGTAAAAAAGTTTTAGAATTTAGAATTATAACCAAGGCTTTGGTGCATCTGCCTTAGTCCTTGGCTTAGAACTAGCTGGCCAGTCTGTTAATTGTCACATTAACTCTAACCCAGGATAGAGAAAAACTTCGTCAGGCTTTGGAAAACCAAAAACTGACGTTGTAAACATTTCTTAATGTGTGTCCCTAATATGTACTAAAGTGACAGTCTTCATCCTGTTCTAGGACAGCAATCCATTTGATGCCACTGCAGGGTATCGTAGTCTGACCTATGAAGAGGTACTACAGGAGCTGGTGAAACACAAAGAACTCCTTAGGAGGAAAGACACTCACATCCGGGAACTCGAGGACTACATCGACAACCTCCTCGTAAGGGTAATGGAAGAAACGCCCAGTATTCTCAGAGTGCCATATGAACCATCCAGGAAAGCTGGCAAATTCTCTAATAGTTCATAAAGCCAATTGTACTGCATTCGTAATTGGGCAAAGAAAGAGAGGAAAGAGGGGAGGGAGGGAGGAAGGAAGGAAAGAAGGAAGGAAGGAAGGAAGGAAGGAAGGAAGGAAGGAAGGAAGGAAGGAAGGAAGGAAGGAAGGACGGACTGAAAGAGACTACTCTATCAGGTTTCATTTCCTACTCTCCTTTATTGTGAAAAATTGTTTTACCTGTAAATATTAGCTAGGACTACCACATCAAGAGTGACCTTTGAAGCAAGCTAAATAATTTAAACTTTTTAAAAGTTAAAATGGGCCTGAGTCAAAAAATAAGTGGTTCCTTGGGATTTACATAGGTGCTGGTGCTGACCCACTAATCTGCCAGAGGCCTAGAAATATCTTCAGAAGTACATGAGTTATTCCTCAGGAATAGATTTTCATAAAGCAGAATTGATACTATGGTTGGTTTCTCAGAAATCAATTTGTAGACATATTTAGCTTCAGGAATATCACTCATTATAAACAATACTGCAAAAAAGAGTTCATGTTTTATATACATGTGTACATGAATATATGTTCATGTATCTTGTATATAAAATTCAGGCATATACCTCATATATACATGTGTTTTTAGAACATTTAAAAACAACTGGTTGCTTCTAAGCTGATATCAATTTCTTAATTTGAAAATGTGTGTGTACTCTATTGATGCAAGATAAGTCATCATTACTACTATTGTGATTTGTTACAGAGAAGCTGCTTCAAATCGCTCTTGACTATGTGAACCTTGGCTTCAAAGTGAACTGCTGTATATTATTCCAGCATCAATTTTTATCGCTTTTCCCAAAAGTAATGACCTAAAGCCTTTTTTTAAGGAATCTCAGATTTTAGGAAACTTGATTAACTTCACAAAGCACTAATTTATTTGAATTAATTATCTTGACATATGATTTTTGTTTAAGATGCAAGCAGAAGATAAGCTAGCATAGTTTGTTTTGTTGAAATTCTGCATGCCTTTAGATCACTAACAAAGAAAAAATATGAAGTTATATCTTAAAATAATTTGGGGGAATAAAAGATGATCACTTGGTGCCTGATAACCCAAAGCAGTGGGCAAATTCCAGGAATGAAGAATTAGGCTTGGTTTCAAGTTATATAAATAATAGGGCAGATGGTTGCCTTTGGGTCTTGAAACAAAATAAAACTAAAGGAAGCATGAGTTTTTAGAGCAGATTTTTACTAACATGACATTATATGTGATTGTACATCCACCCTTTAAGAATTGATTTATTACAAAATTATGTCTGTTTTAAAAATCCACTCCCAAAAATGTTGATTCCTTCCATGGATTATCTTTATATATTTGTATAAAATTATCCTGAGATTTCAATTGAAAATCAATCGTATAAAAATGTTGCTAATCTTCTGCTTATTTTTTAACCTTAAACGTCTAAAACACTACTGTGAAACACTGAGAGTATCTTTCTGAACTTAAGATGAAAAAATTTATATTCATTTGAAGACTTATATTCCCCAATCCTTTATTGGATTGCATTTTATTATATTTCTGTCTATTAAAACTCTTCATTGAAAATTAAATAAAAAGCAGATATAATAATTTTGCTCATTTCAGTATTTTGAATCAGAAAATACTTAGCCAAGTTTATATTCATAACAAAAATTTCTTGTTAATTGTATTTTCTGAGTTTCTTTTGTTTTTCTCAGAACATGCATTTGGAAATTGTGAAACTTTTCACAAATGAAATAAAGATGCGTTAATAAAATTAAGAAAAGGAGGAAGAAAAGTAGCTTTTATCATTTTTTTCCTCCACTTATAATTAAAATTCTGTACTAGACCTCATAATCTGGTGTAGAATTTTATTTTCCCATTTGAGGTCTTAGTAATTATTATTTTTTACCATGGTACCATTTCTAACTAACTTTTATTAAATGTTAAAGTTCTTAGCAATTTTTTTTTCTGGTAGTACTGCTGAGGCACTTTTTACACTTTTTAAAATGCCAAAATCCATGTGTTTTCAGTATTATGACAGAACTGCAGACACTGTAATATGCTTGGCCAAAACTTACTCTTTATAGAATGAACCAAGATGTCAGTTTGTATTGGTGATATGTTTTACATAAATAGAGCTCATTAAAAAGTATGGCTCAAGTATTGTTATTCTTTTTATGAGGGACTTGATTTTTAAGAAGTGATTCTTTTCCTATCTAAAAACTGTTAAGGATTAGACTTACTCATATGTGATTTGATTATAACTGAGTCAATGTTTTTTATCTTTAATCTTTGAGACAAGTATTGTATTTAAAACTGGATCTACATTTGTCACTGCCAGAAAATGTTCTGCCCTAATGTTTATTAATTTTCACTCATGACCTAGAATAAACTTATCAGATATTTTTATAATCAGTCAAAATAATAAACTAAAAACAAAAAGTAAAAAGTAAAAACGAGTTCTCAAGTAAGCATATCAATGTTTCCTGTGTTTGGGCAGAGTAGTTTCAATTTCTCACATTGCAGAAAAAGAGACTTAAAAGATCACCTTAGTTTATTTTTCCAAAATGTAACTTTAAGTATTCTAGCAAAATCCAGATTTTGTTAGTAGCTAAGAAATGGAAATAAAATATATATGTTCATTAAATAATGCACAATACAATAGAGTATAAACAGATTTTACTGTTGCTTTTATGTTTAAACGAATATATGCCCTGAAACATTTCCGCCACCAAGAGTTTTTTAATTCACATAATATTTATTTCAAGTCTATCTTAAGCTAATATACTTTGTTACATAATTAAACTATTTCTGCTGTCGTTTTAAAAACAGTATTGTTTTTTATAACCAGTTCTCCTCCCAGTTCTGTAACTTAACTTTAAAATTATTGAACATACATTCTTACCACTTACACTTCAAGTTTCATTTATTGAGTACCAGGGTCATATCTTAGAATTGTATATAAAATAACATAACATGTAACCCATTTATGAAAAATGTTCAAGTATTGCCTTTTGCTGCTATATTCTGCATTGAGCCTAGTTTTGTCATCATTCCATGAATGTAGTATTATCCATAGATTATACAGAATTACATCTATTGCTTTTGGCAGTAAATCAAGATTTAGTTGTAATTTTCCAGCTGTGAAAATGTTGCCTTGTATTTAAAAGAGTATCATGAATGGAAACTTAAGTAAGACAAAGCTCATTAGTGACAGACTTACTTTCTTCATGTCCTTTCTTCACCAACTCCCCTAGCCTCTTATGGAGCCTACCACCTCCATAAGGGTGCTTATTATTTAACAAGGAGAATCGTTAAAAAAAGAAATAAATAGGAACTGCTCTCTTTACTATATCTACGGTAGTTATTAACTAGAGCTTTTATTTTCCTCTGTAGCTTTTTAGAAAAAGCAGTCTACCTTGGATTTGTAAATCAAACTGAAACTTTTTTGATGTTCATGTACTCATATGTCTTGTAGATGGTAGGTGTCACTTGTGTGTGTGTATAAGTGAAGTATAAAGCATGCTCATTCACTTGATCTCTTTGAAGTAAGGGAAAGGATCACTGTGCTGCTGGTCCATGATGGTCTATGGAAGAGTCTGTCAGCACATGGAAGGCCCCCATTCTCACAGATGTATGAATCCAGATGCAATCGTTGGAAGTGTTTAATATGCAATAGGTAGCATCTTAACTAATTAATCTGCATATGAAGCGTTTTCTGATGTATTTAATAAGAAGTGTAGAAGCTCTTTAAGCATTAAACTAGAGTTGATTTTTCATTCCATTTATGTTCTCTGTCAAAAAATCCACTCTTACAATGGAGTTGAAGTCTTAAAATGATACATTTGGGCCTATTAATCTCCGAAGCTTCCAGATGGTTTGTATTTTGAGGTACAAAAAAATGCTGCAGATCTAGAAATGTATATATTTAGCAGGTATTTGAAAGATATAAGCATTATTTATAACAAAAGAGTATTACACTTCTTAAGTAAATGCTCTAGTAACTTGTATACATTTTTGCAGGTACAGACTCAAAAGTATGTAAGCATTGTACAATGTGACAATTGTATAATTTATGTAATCTGATGCATGAACCAGAATTTTTATATAATATTATTATTGATTTATTACAGTTGATTAAAGTGTTTAAACTTAATTCAGTTGTCAACATTTCTTTTTCTTATTGCAGATGAAACAGTGTTACCATAATGCATTTGTATGAGTCCTCCTTATCTTCTAATAAATACTTAGGACACCTCTTATTTGGTGTATTATAGCATGTATTCTGTAAGACCTACAAACTTCACATGAAAATAGTTCTGAAAAGCCATTAAGAAGATTAATTTCTAAGTACCTTAGAATAAACATTCTTCAACAGATGTGTGAATGCCCTCTCATAGGTATGGAACTTACGATTTGGTAGAAAGTAACACTTGAGTAATTATATGTAGATAAGGTTTATGCCAAGTGCTTTATATCTATGCCTTATTTTATTTATTCTTCACAACAACCTAGTAAGATAAAGGAGTGTACAGAGGAAATTTATGACAATGAATGAACTATCTGTGGTACTCAAGAAAGTGGAATAGGGTTGACAAGCTCATAGCATATCTCACCACTTCTTATCCTGTAGATCACGGCAGAAGTTATTAATCGATCACCACTTCCAGTCTGAGTGCACACTTGTTCATCTGATGTATGGGTACATTTTTACAGCAGTGTATTCTAGATTATGAGCTGTTAGCCATCAGTAGTCTAAGACATAAATCATACATATTTAGAATAGGGATTTTGCTGCAGGCCAGGGCACCCTCCTGTTCTCGAATCGCTGTCTCCTTTGGAGGGTCCATTTAACCTGCCCCTCCGCTTCTTGTAGGATTCTCCTCTAGATTGCTCTCCTTTCTCCCTGCCCCCAACACACACATTTCTTTTTCCTTATTCTGCTGAAATAAAGGTATTTGGGGTAATTTGGAAGTAGAGAGATATTACGATTCAGTTAAAGTGGCCATTTTTCATCTTGTTTTGATGCCTGACTTGGAAATGTTTCTGTTTCATTTTTC